AAATCGGTTCAGATTTAGATATAGCTCCCGTATATAGTTTCGTCCGATTTAAGGTAAATGGGCACCAAAGTCCCTATATATCTTTCTATTTGCACGAAGTTTGGCGTAGCGTATGGAATTAAGTCCAGAATAGTGTCTGCTGAGATTCGAGAAAATCGGTTCAGATTTAGATATAGTTCCCATATATAGTTTTGTCCGATTTTATGTAAATGGAGCACTAAAGCCCCTATATATATCTTTCGATTAACACGAAATTTTGCATATTATGCTGAATTGCGTCTAGAATTATGTGTGTCACGTTTCGAGAAAATCGGTTCAGATTTAGATATAGCTCCTATATATATTTTCGTCCAATTTAAGGTAAATGGGGCACCAAAGTCCCTATATATCTTTCGACTTGCACGAAATTTGGCACGGTGTACTGAATTGAAGCTAAAATGATGTGTGTCAAGTTTTGAGAAAATTGAGTCTAGAATGACGTGTGCTAAGTTTTGAGAAAATTGATTCAGATTTAGATATAGCTCCCCTATATACATTTGTCCGATTTTATGTAAATGGTGCATAAAAGTCCCTATATATCTTTCGATTTGCGCGAAATTTTCCATAGTGTACTGAATTGAGGATAAAGTGATGTGTGTCAAGTTTTGAGAAAATCAGGTCAGATTTATATATAGCTCCCATATATAATTTCGTCCGATTTAAGATAAATGGGGCACCAAATATCCTTTTTATCTTTCGATTTGCACGAAATTTGGCATAGGGTACTGAATTAGGTCTAGAATTAACAAAATGACGTACCTTTGGAAAATCAAATATTTTAGACAAAATACCAATAAATCCGATTGGATTTATCCTATTCATGCGATAGCTATATACTCATAGAGTAACGTGTCAAAATTTGAAACCGATTGGATTATAAGTTTTTGAATAGTCGTGCTCTCCATTCGTAAAAACACGGTTTCGAGAAAAACACATTTAAATTTGCCATAGAAGTGGGTTATGTTTACTTTTAACAAGATAGCGGAAAATCTTTCCGTGTTGTGTCCTCTCTGTTATTCACCACAAAGTCTTGCTATTTCTTCTTGTCAATAGCCTTGCGCCGATTCAATACCATGGAGACAGAATACTTGAGGATATGGAGGGTATTGTCATTTAAGCTCGCATGTAATGTCTAATAGGTTGATATTATATTCCATACAAAGCACCAAAATGCTCGCACGAGTTTCACCCTCCACACAAACACGTGCAGGAATACACATCGGAATAAAAAAAATTAAATCGACTATATTATATTTCTCTATATAAACAAATCGACACAAAAACCAGTGAGCGGAGCAATATAGTCCAACGGGGCCGACTATATGATACCCTACACAACTACCACGGAACTCTAACATTCTGCGAATGTTTTTTCCGAGTCTTGGCAATATTTCGTGATATTTGCACCCTATTGCCGATTAGATGGCAACAGCACCTCTTCCTTACACTGACATATTTTGCGAATATTACTTATATTCAGTGCAGCCCTTCTAATTTGTTGTCCAAATTCCCTTCAACATGGGTTGTGTCGTGATGTTCGGCATATAATTGTGGCCTATAGATCGACTCGAAAACAAACAAAAATTTCCAAGCGATCAGCGCTATATTTCCGCCCTCTAGTGTAGCAATGGGTTACTAAACAATATCTGAATACGTAGTCGAAAAACTGGGTTTTGGACCCAGATTTTTTTAAAAACTCTTTGAAAGTCGAACTTGGGTCCAATCCTGACTAAAATGATAGAATACAATTTGTCGTTTCCAAAATGGTGTGATATGTGGCTATATCTGTTGTGAATATGGGCCTTAGAATCCTACAAAAAAAGGAAATTCTGTCTCGTAGCCGGTGTTGGTGTCTGTCCACAGGAGAAAGTCTTAAATGTCCGGTCGAAGGCCGGCCATCCATAAAACTATTCTATTTAAAAGGAGATTCTGTCGCGTAGACGGTGTATGTATCTGTCAACAGGAGAAAGTCTTAAATCCACGGCCAAAGACCGGCCACAAAAAAAAAAACTATTCATTTAACAGTAGATTCTGTCGCGTAGCCGCTGTTGGTATCTGGGAGAAAGTCTTAAATCCCCAGGAGTTTCTGTCGCGTAGCCGGTGTGAAAGGTGAAAGTCTTAAGTCTTAAAACCCACCCAAAAAACCATTCTATTTAAAAGGAGACTATGCCTTGTAGAAAGAATTCCCTTGTTTTTATAGGGTTCTGAGGCTCATACCTTTTGATCCACAACTGATATAGACGCATGTCGCACCGTTTTGGAAAGGGCAAGGACATTGTAGTCTATCAATTTAGTCCGGATTGGAGAGGATCCAAGTTCGACTTTTAGGGAGTTTTTCAAAAAAATCGAGGTCCAAAACCCAGTTTTTTGACTGTATCTCCGGTTTGAGATAAGCCCATCATATCACCTCTAAATGGAAAGGTCTTTTTATAAGCTTTAAACTGATACCCATTTTATATTAACCGGATTCGTAGAACCGGATATAACCGGGTACGCGTACCCGAACTTCTGGTCAAATTACCCGGTAACCGGGTACGACCTCCAAGAAAAAAAAACCCATAATTAGGGTAAAAATACCTACCTCTGGAAAAAAATTCAGAAAAATCTGATCGTTTTTACTAAACTACAGTTGTTCCCTGTGGCCTGTATCGGGTTTACAATTTATAATGGACAGGAGGACGGACGGACACTCGTGTCTAGATCGACTCAGCTAGTCGAGATATAATCGGTATACTTAAAGGTGGGTCAAGGACCAATATTTCGCGGCATTACAAACTCTTGGGAATGCACAGAGTTATAACAACCTGATAACATTGTTGTGTAGAGTATAAATACTTTCCCCTGGATTTCTTTGGGGTAAGTTCTTATTCTTCAGTTTGCGACCAATGTTCAGTACCGCACTTCTACCCACATACGTCTTCAATGTCATATTTATCTGAATCAACTTTACGCTTTTTTGAAAAATTTTCCAAGGATGTTTCTCCATCTGCACCAATGGACTATATGCATCCTTGATGTTTGTAAATAAATTTAATGCATAGAAGGGGTTGGTCCGGAAACCACAACTCTCATTTAAGGATAGTTATTGTTTATTTCAGTATGACTACTTTACGAAAGGATATCCATCTGGGTGAATATGTATATATAACGTATAACTTCTGAGCCTTCCCAGTAATCCGCCGGATAATGTTTCTTTCTCTCATTTTCATCAAGGATTTTTTCCCTCATCTCTTATATGGAAATATGTCCTTTCTGCTTTGAGTGACATTTCATTTACCTGTTTTTTTTTCGTGACATTCACACAAGAAAAATTATTTTCAATTCGAATGAAATATTTCACGCCTTTTTCATAAAAATTTACTAAAATTACATTTAATTGATTGACAGTTGTTCTACAACGACGAGCCAGTTAGCGGACTGGCTTAATAGATTGTGAAGGAGGCATGAGGAGGCTAACAAAACAGTAATATGCTTTTAAGCGATTACAAGCCATTTACAGAGGCAAAAATGGGCTGGGGAGAAAATAGTTAGGTTATGTGTGTGTGTGTGTGTGTGTGTGTCTGAGTAAAGGGCAGACGTTATGACAAATACCATTCTTGAAAATAGCTAACTTCGGTGCTTGTAAGAAAATAAGTAGAAGAAATATAAAATTCCGTTGGATAGGAGTTCTCGGGAGTTGGAATTATTAAGAAATAATTTACCAAATAATTTTGGCGGGATGGAAGGGAAGAAGAAGGAGCAAAGACACACTAAACACACTAAAGTTATTAAGTGAACGAAAACGACAAAAATATCCTACACCACCTGCTTCTTTACTTCTAAAAGTAGACTGAGTGTTCTCAGGCAACACTCTCAGGCAACAGCTATTGAGTGAGGGGGGTGCCGCACATTGTTTTACTTTTTCCTTTGGTACCAAAATTGAAAATATTTTACATGGTGGCGATTATTAAATCAAGAAAATTAGATGAGGGGTAGGTAGGGGTAGATGTAATTAGGTCTATTAAGTGCTGATTAAAAGTGAGATTATCTTAATGTGAACCAAACCAAATCAGGGCACTTATCGCAATGAAACGATGTAATCACATTTATTGAATAAATTTAGGGGGCTGGAGGGGAAGTGGCAGGAAAATTGTTTACCACATGGATAGAAATTGTTTTTCAAAATGATTTCGCCCAAGGCATAGGCTTCGGCGTGGATTTCTAATTTTTTAAGGCATAGCCTTAGGCGTGGATTTCTAAAATTGTTTTAAGGCATAGCCTTCGGCGAGGATTTCTGAAATTTTTTCAAGGCATAGCCTTAGGCGTGGATTTTTTAAACATTATTTTTTCAAGGCATAGCCTTAGGCGTGGATTTTTTAAACATTATTTTTTCAAGGCATAGCCTTAGGCGTGGATTTTTTAAACATTATTTTTTCAAGGCATAGCCTTAGGCGTGGATTTTTTAAACATTATTTTTTTAAGGCATATCCTTAGGCGTGGATTTTTTAAACATTAGTTTTTCAAGGCATAGCCTTAGGCGTGGATTTTTTAAACATTATTTTTTCAAGGCATAGCCTTAGGCGTGGATTTTTTAAATGGATTTCCGCATGGATAATTTGTCTATCCACTGTTTGCAATTTTGTCACTAATCCTTCCTTTTTATTATTTTTTCAAGGCATAGCATTAGGCGTGGATTTTTTAATCATTATTTTTTCAAGGCAAAGCCTTAGGCGTGGTTTTTTTAAACATTATTTTTTCGAGGCATAGCCTTAGGCGTAGGTGTGGATTTTTTAAACATTATTTTTTCAAGGCATAGCCTTAGGCGTGGATTTTTTAAAACATTATTTTTTCAAGGCATATCCTTCGGCATGGATTTTTTAAAACATTATTTTTTCAAGGCATATCCTTCGGCATGGATTTTTTAAAACATTATTTTTTCAAGGCACTAATCCTTCCTTGTTTTTCTTTTTTTTTTATTCCAGGCATTTCCTCCTTATCAAGTTGTGGCGATCCCGACCGCCTACCCGAGCTGCCACCCGGTGATGAACAGCGACTGCAACGTGCCGCTATGCATTTGCAACAAAAACTCATTCTCCGAGAATGGCTGAAGGATCATCGGCTGCAGCATCACTATCAACGTCTCCTCAATGTCGAGGTTGCCTCCCTCGAAGATGTCTATTGGCTCGAAGATTCACGGGCCAGTAAAATTTTGGGAAAAGATTGGCAGGTATGGTCACAAGCCAGACAAAATCTACCCACATCGAAGGCCCAGTTGGATGCACTGAAGGCCCAGTTGTGGTCCACCGTTGTTAAATCCAGTCAACATCAAGATGCCTGGACATGGGGTGGTATGCTGGTGGTCTCCGTCTCTGTGGCCGGCCTGGTCACTTTGGCTGCCATGACCCAACCATCCTTGGCCCCAGAGGCTCGCCACTCCTTACTGCAATACGTAACGGGAAAATATCTACTTCCGGCAAATTGTAAAGTCCAATGGGATTGGAAAGATCCGGCGGTGGTGGGTGGCACTATGTGCTTTGTTGTGCGGTTCTATCAACGCAACGGCCAGCCTTATCCCATCTGTGATACAGATCAATTTTTTGTTGAAGTTACCGAAGGTACCCGCAAAATGGTAACAATCAGTGAATTGGGTTCCCCGACGGATCCAAATAATGCCAATATTGCAAAGGTGAAATTTACAGTGCGCACAGCAGGGCAGTATAAAATATCGGTGATGATTGGTTCCAGCCATATTGCCGGATCGCCATTTACAAAGACCTTTATACCGGGTCCCATAGATGCCAGGCGTTCGAGATTTATAAGACCGGCAAGTACGGTTATTTGTTGTGCCGGATCGCCGACCTTATTGCACATCGAACCGAGAGATGAGTTCGGCAATGCTTGCCAATTTGATCAGGGTGTGGATCCGGTTAAAGTAAGATATTCTGAAATGCCCCCAAAAATTTGTGGTTATAAAATTTTAATTTTTTAAGGGCTACCACGTGGAAACCTATGACCTAAATGGCCAACCCTTGGAGAAGTTGCGAAATGCCATTGCCTTCACCTATGATAGGGTAAATGCTCGAGTTGCCGTTACCGCTTTGTTTCCCGAACCCATATGTCTACGTGCCGTTATAAGTTATCTAGACCAAAAGTTACCCAATGGGGACTTTGATATTATAGTTTTAAGCAGTGAGTCCCTCAATTGAATATAGATCTTCCACGGATTCTAATGTCCTCCCCCTTTCTCTTTCCAGGCAGCGACACCACATTGGTGCATAAAAATATCGCTTCACGCAAGCACAACATTTGCTATGAGGCCCGCCTCCTCAGTATATTTGGTGCGGCCAAATCTAAGCCACGTAAAGTTCTCTGTTCGGTGGGTCCGAAACAAGTGAGTTGTTGGGGAGCCTGCCCCCCCTAATAATAATCCTCGATTTTTACTTCGAAATTTCATTGATCAAGAATTCTTTAATATTTCAGGTCACGATCAAAGAGATGATCTTGAAATTTATACCCAAACGGATTGCCACATTTCGATTGTGTCCCTCGACAAAGTTCCATTTTTTGCCACAACTGCCGACTCATGTCCATGGACCGATTTTCATAATCGATGATGGCGCCCAGCCGAAAATTGAATTGGCCTCTAGGGATCGTAATATTATTGCGGCCACGTTTACACATTTTTTACTGAAGAATATCGGAGGTTCGGAAACCTTTAAGGATAAACAGGATTTCTTTTATCATGAGGTTCGGAAATTCCATGCAAATTATTATCATGAGAAGTTGTCGTTGAAGGTGCAGCGAGATAAAATCCTGGAGAGTAGCATGAAGGCTACGAAGCATTTTTCGGTTTCCGATTGGTGTGGTAATTTTGAGGTTACCTTTCAGGGGGAGCAAGGTAAGTTCGAGAAAAACACAATATACCTTCTTAGAAGTCATATGTAAATAGCATGTGCTTGGTTATGCCTTGAAAATGAATTTTTAAAAAATCTACGCCTTAGGCTATGCCTTGAAAATGAATTTTTAAAAAATCTACGCCTTAGGCTATGCCTTGAAAATGAATTTTTAAAAAATCTACGCCTTAGGCTATGCCTTGAAAATGAATTTTTAAAAAATCTACGCCTTAGGCTATGCCTTGAAAATGAATTTTTAAAAAATCTACGCCTTAGGCTATGCCTTGAAAATGAATTTTTAAAAAATCTACGCCGTAGGCTATGCCTTGAAAAAAATCTACGCCTTAGGTTATGCCTTGAAAATGAAGTTTTAAAAAATCTACGCCTTAGGCTATGCCTTGAAAAAAATCTACGCCTTAGGCTATGCCTTGAAAAAAATCTACGCCTTAGGCTATGCCTTGAAAATGAATTTTTAAAAAATCTACGTCTTAGGCTATGCCTTGAAAATGAATTTTTAAAAAATCTACGCCTTAGGCTATGCCTTGAAAATGATTTTTTAATAAATCCACGCCTTAGGCTATGCCTTGAAGATGAATTTTTAAAAAATCTACGCCTTAGGCTTTACCTTGAAAATGAATTTTTAATAAATCTACGCCTTAGGCTATGCCTTGAAAATGAATTTTTAATAAATCTACGCCTTAGGCTATGCCTTGAAAATGAATTTTTAATAAATCTACGCCTTAGGCTATGCCTTGAAAATTAATTTTTAATAAATCCACGCCTGAACCATTTTCTCTTCCAGGTATCGATTGGGGTGGGTTACGCCGTGAATGGTTTGAACTTATTTGCAGTGCCTTGTTTGATCCACGTGGTGGCCTGTTCTGTACCTTCCACGATAAACGACAGGCCTTGGTCCATCCAAATCCTCACCGGCCACCCCACTTGAAATTAAAACATTTTGAATTTGCCGGAAAAATTGTCGGCAAATGTTTATATGAAAGTGCCTTGGGTGGTACATATCGGCAATTGGTGAGGGCCAGATTTACCCGATCTTTCCTTGCCCAGTTAATAGGTTTAAGAGTTCACTATAAGGTAAGTTCCGAACCAATTTTTGAAATTTAAAACTGTTATTAACACAATTTTGTAAATTTTATTTTTAGTACTTCGAACAAGATGACCCGGATTTGTATTTATCAAAAATTAAATATATTTTGGATACAGATTTGGATGCAAGTGACTCGTTGGAATTATATTTCGTTGAGGATATCTATGATGCCAGTGGCCAGCTAAGCAAAACAATTGAGTTGGTACCGAATGGTTCGAAGGTGCGGGTTACAAATGCCACAAAAAATCAATATTTAGATGCGTTGGCCCAGCAAAGGCTATGTAATAGTGTTAAGGACGAAGTGGATAGTTTCCTGAAGGGTCTCAACGGTATTATACCGGATAATTTGTTAAGTATTTTCGATGAAAATGAATTGGAGGTAAGGCTTACACATCGGGCAAGAGAAAGTCTATTTAATTTAAAATCTCTTCCTAGCTTCTTATGTGCGGTACCGGCGAATATTCCATTGCCGATTTCAAGGCTCATCACATAGCGAATGGCAACTCATCGGAGTTCCGTCGTGTCTTGGCCTGGTTTTGGGCCGGCATTAGCAATTTTAGTCAAACGGAAATGGCCCGTTTACTGCAATTTACCACGGGCTGTTCCCAACTGCCACCCGGTGGGTTTCAAGAGCTTAATCCTCAATTTCAGATTACAGCGGCTCCGACATTTGGTAATTTACCAACAGCTCATACGTGGTGAGTACTTGAAGGGTATAAAATTTAGAGAATGTTTTTGATACCCTGGACTAATGAATGATTTAAAAAATGATTTAAAAAAAATCTACGCTTATGGCTATGTTCTAAAAAATAATTAAAAAAACACGCCTATGGTCCATACCCTAAATGGTGTGGGGTATTTTATAGTCGGTCCCGTCCCACTTTGACACTTTTCCTTACTGTTTTTATTAAATTATCTCTTCTTCTTCTTTTTATTTTTACAGTTTCAATCAACTCTGCTTACCCGACTACGAAAGCTATGAACAATTTGAAAAGGCTTTACTATTGGCCATTAGTGAGGGTACCGAAGGTTTTGGCATGGTCTAAATAAAAATGGAATTTTTGGAATCCTCAGAGAGAAAGCCACAGAATGGAAAATGTATGCCACATGAAAAAATTAGTAATTTGTATATGAAAAAGTGTGTTCCTTAATAATAAGTTAGTTAAATGTAGTTGTAGTAGAAAAAAGACGAGGCATTTGATACGAGGTGGAGTTAATGTAAGGAATTCAATACCGGTTTTTATTTAAGAAAATATTTAAAAGTGGATATAAATTATGTATAAGAAAATGCGGATACCATGGTTTCCAATTGATAGAGAAAGTGTTGAACTCATAATTTTGGAAATTTTCTTCAAAAGTTCTGTGGGTTCTGACTACCTTTACCTTTTCTAAAAACGGTAGATTTCAACTAATTCCGAATTCCTTACATTTACACACCCTCCCCACTATTTCAAATGTCATATTTTTGAAATACGTATGTTTGTATTGTATATCTTTCTGAATAAGAGAACGTGATTTATTTTTGCTGTTGTACTACTGCGGAATAATGCTCATGAAATCCACAAAATCGTAACATTTCATCAGCAATAATATCAAAAAGTGACGAACAAAAAAACCAAAGAAAAAAATTAAGCAATAAGTAGAAGAAAAAAAATCATTCATAACTAAAATCTTATACTAGTAGTGTTTTGTTGATATCCAAAATGACCTACACCACTGACTTCGATCGGGGATATTGGGCGACCATTATAGCAGACGCTTAAATATCGCCAGCCTGCTAATGTCCTTCCAGGATGGCACCGTAATTATAGCAACTCTCCACCGTATCATCCTTATTTTATTTTATTAATCGTATCACTCTATATGTATACCATAAATTTGAAAACATAATCTTAATGTAATACAGATGTTGTCCTCTAGATGAACTAATGGTTTGTGCCATTACTGACGATCAAAGGGCCGTAACTACACTTCAATACATTTGGTGCGTATCTGTACTATTGCAAAGACATGTTAAACGGGTTCTAACGGCAATCATCATAACTAATTTTATTGATATTTAATGAATCACCATGATAACACTACTAATCATTCATCCAAAGAATACACACTTTTTGAAAATTAATCCGCATTTCCCAATCTATGTTTCTGTAATTTTGGCTTCTAAATGGATAAAAATTATATATGCATATCTTCTTGAAGGTTAATTGCAAAGTTCACGGCCTCCCTCAGAATTGTTTATTCAAGAAAATTTCCTTCCAAGTCTGTAAATGGATTGTAGCCACACTCCAACTTATCGGACTCTTTGCTTCAAAATAGGTAAATTTTTGAATTTTCCTAGTTCCTACTTTTTTCAATATAAGCAATCAGGATAGTTCCCTTAGTTTTTTGTTGGGAATATTCTCCCCAGAAGCTATTAATACAGAAAACCCGTTTATACCCAATTGTATCTTGTAACAAAGTAAAGTACTTAGCTAACTAATAGCTGAAGGTCTTATCATAGAAGACCAGAAAGTCTCCTCATTGAAAGCAGAAAACATAATCTTAGGAGATTATTTTCTCCGTTAACTTATTTAGGAACTTCTTACCGAAGAACAGAATGTCTTGTTATAAAACAGTAGAACGTCAGCTAATAGAAAACCAGCTGGCCTTCTCGTAGAAGAGCTGAAGGTGTCCCCTCATTGATTACCTGAAGGTCTTCTTCTCATAGAAGAACTGAAATTGTTATCAGAGAAAAAACTTAAGGTCTTCTCATAGAAGGTCGGACGGTCTTCTTCCCATAGAAGAGCTGAAGGCCTTCTTATCATGAACGAGTTGAAGGTATTCTTCTCATCGAAGAGTTGAAGAGTTCTAATAGTAGAGCTGAAGTTCTTCGTCTCATAAAAGAACTGATGGTCTTCGTCTCATAGAAGAGCTGAAGGCCTTCATCCCATAGAAGAGCTGAAGGTCTTCTTCTCATAGGAGAGCTAATGTCTTCTTCTCATAGAAGAGCTGAAGGCCTTATTTTCATAGAAGAGCTGAAAGTATTCTTCTCATCGAAGAGTTGAAGGTCTTCTTTTCATAGAAGAGCTGAAGGTATCCTTCTCATCAATTTGTTAAACATCAAAAGGTTTTGCTCATAGAAGACCTGAAGGACTGAAGCTCAAGGTGTGTTCATCGAATAGCGGAAGGGTTTCTCATAAGTGCTGATTTTTTCTCTAGAAAAGCAAAAGACGTTATTGTTGAAGATTACATGGGTCTCCCAAAGACAAGCTTAAGGGTTACGAATTTTCTTGGAGGTCAGAAGAAGAGAAGAAAAAGAAGAAGCAAAAATTCTCTTAAAAAAAGCTAACGAACATCTTCTAGAAGGTGTGAATTTCTTTCCATGGAACAGGAGACCGTCATCTAAATGAACTAAATGTATACTCATAGAATGCCAACAGGTCTTCACATTGAAATAAAAGGGTATTTTTCGTTGAGGTAAGATGATCTTCTCATAGAAGGACACGCGTTCTTTTCGGAGAATATTTGACCTACTAGATATATATAGACAACACTTAGTGTGGTCTTGCGTCATATGGCATTTCCATTGGAATGTTTGATATTTTTAGCACAAATGTGCAAAGGCTAGTGTCGATTGGTGTAGCTTTTGTATAATTAAAATATCGGATATTGTGAAAAAAGGTTAAGAATATCCTCACAGGTTACGAATTGACTGTGTGGGCCTTCGAAGACGAGCTTGCATATGCTCGTCTGAAAATTGCTCGTAGAGAAGGCATTTTGAAGTATAAATCTCTATTTTATTTAAAAAACGCTACAAAGTCTTTGGCTTGTATTAAATCGGCAATTATTTCAGTCAGTCGTACAGGGTAAATGAGAGGACTCATTATAATATATTTGCCGTTATACGTTATACACAAACCATTTGTGTCTTCGTTAACGATCACAGGGTAATTACTGCACTTCACCACTTTTTGGTGTGTGTCTACACTTCGAAAAAAAAACTACGAAATCTGGCGCCAAGCATTTGACCTACTAACTTACCTACTAAATTTTCAACCTACTAATCTGCTGCGAAAATTATACCACAAAATCACCACACAAAGAAGCCATTTCAGGTATTTTGATGTAATTAACCGCCTAACCATGTGTGACTTCTATAAATAGTGCAAGTATGGTAAATATGAGGACGCTTTAAAAGGTAATATATGAATACTTTCTGATGTTTGCTGTTAAATGTTATACTCATGGTTTGTGTCTTTGATAACGATCACAAGGTCATTGCCATACCTCACCACTTTTGTTGCGGCAATCATTTGAACTATTTTTATTGATTTTGTGCGGATTACCCACATTTAGCCTACTACTCTGCTACCTTTAAATATCTTAAATTCCAGCCGCATAGGTTTTATTCGATTTTAGATATTTTGAAAATTATTTGGATGGATATTCTAAGGATTTCCGAACCGAATAGCCTGTACTTGATATTACGTAGCAAAATTACCTATATCTGTGAATAAACATAGCGCACAAGCTCCGAAATTTTCTGATTTTCAGAGGATTGCAAATCTCCTTGAAAGAAATTGTAGGTATATATAAAAACACTATTTCGTTGGGCGCCACTATTGACATTTACAGTAAGAAGACTTCGATTTTGACAATTAGTGTGTTAAAAGTCCTTTTTCGAAGTGTTGCGGTGTAGGTTTAGATATTATATAGCCATCCTGTACAGTACTTATGTAGTTTGGTAAAAACAAAAACACAAAGTAATAACTAACGAAAAATTGTAGCAAAAAACATCCCTAAAGCGTATCAGCAGCAAATATTGTGATATCATCTCTAATGTATGTATTTAAATTCTTGAAATTGATATATAAAATATTGTAATTGAAAAAATGAAATAAACAAAAAATTAGAATTTAAATTCAAATTTTAGTATTTAAAATTGAAATTAATATTGCAATATTTATTATTTTTTAATTGAATAAAAACGCGTTGAAATAACCCTGGCTTACGTTTTACATAGATTTCCAAAAAAGCTTTGAATAAAAACCATAATGCCAAGCAATCCTGAACAATATTCGATAATACGAAAATTTATGTTATAAAAAGCTTATAGCATTAGCAATTTTACAAACATCTTCAGACACACGCACACATATCGATAAACATATTTCAGAAATTATATTTTGATTTTTATTTACTGGTTTCCAAATCACTCATCTTCAGTTGACATAAAGTAGTTGACAAAAAATATTTACAACAAAATATTTTGAAAACATAAAAGCAATGAATTGTTCAAAATTAATTCAAATTGCATTGTTTGTATTTGTAATTAAATGAGTAAATAATGACAAGGTTGCAAATCCCTAGAAAAAAACCAAACGAAATCTAAACTGAATAAGTGAAATAAAAATTGAAAAGAAGAAAACAAGAATATTGTTGATTGATAATATAGAGAAATTTTAAAATAAGAAACAACCGAATAATGAAACGTAAATAAAAAATATTGAAATGAAAAAAACCAAATCAAATAAACTAGATGCGAAAAAATAGAATTTGAAAAAAAAACGCTTTTTTAATTTCAACTGGTTTAGAGAGTAAGTATTAGAATTTATTTTGAATACATAACATTGCAGGTATATAAAAATTTGTATTAAATTATAATTATTAAATACTACGCGATCTTGGATGTTATTTCAGCTGTGTGGAACGAATTATTCTATAGACTTCTTTAAAAATATGTAAGATTTAAAAAAGGATATGCAAAAGTAGTTTCTAATGATTGCCTTTAATGGTTTGTGTCTTTGATAGCAATCACAGGGTGTTCACTTCAGTTTACCATATTAAGAGTGTGTCTACACTACGGTAAAATTAGAACAGCGAAATCCAGCGGCAACCATTTAAAGTATTTTATTGTGTTTTTTAACGAGCCCCCATTTTTAACCTACTACTCTGCTATCTGTACAATGCTTCAATACTTCGTTAATATTCTGTGGTCCTAACACAGAGTGGAAATTATTAAAATAGCCTCATTTTAGGGTTTTAATCCATTTCGGTTTCGCGAAGCTAGATGAATTAT